TTCTAGCGTGTTCCTAGCGTGTACGCAGCGTGTAGCCATGCGGTATATGAACGGGTCCCGCCCCCACCTCCTCATCATCACTTTTCCTCCGACCCTCATGGGTGATGATAGACGTTCCTGCTGATCGTATCTAAAACAACCACCTCAGAAGATGGAGGATCCCGACAGGCTGCGACTACAATACGAAATCGCGGTTCTCCAACATCAGCAGAACCTCATGAAACTGGCACTTCACCAAGTCCATGTCATCAGGAGAATGAAAAAGAGAAGAGGTCGACGGAGGTTCTGGATCCGACCGTGGATCGGTAAGCGACGACAGTTTGGCCTGTATGACCAGCTACTTGTTGAACTCCGTAACGAAGACCCGGCAGCCTTCAAGAACTTCATGCGGATGCCCCCCGAGATGTTCGACGAGCTACTAACCAGAATGGGTCCGAGCATCACCAAGCAGAATACAACCTACAGAGAGGCCCTCGACCCTGGCCTAAAGCTTGCCCTCACTCTGCGGCATCTTGCCTCTGGGACCAAGTATCACTCAATGTCCTATGGGTGGAGGGTGCCTCACAACACTATATCCCTGACCTGTTCTTTCGCTGACCTGACCGTTCGCTGGCTATGCGTTGAATGCGCGGTGCATGCGCGGACCATTCGTTCCGTGCGCTAGCAACACGCTGTGCATTCGTTGGATTTTTTAACATGTGCGCCCTGTATACGCGCAGCGCGCTAGCAACACGCTGTGCATTCGTTGGATTTTTTAACATGTGCGCCCTGTATACGCTCTGTATGCGCCCTGTATACGCGCAGCGCGCTAGCAACACGCTGTGAATTCGTTGTCAACTCGCTAGCATCTCCCAAATCCTGACAAAAGTTGGGCGCACAACGACGCACTGATCTTACTTTCCATTTTTTGATTAATTTTCAATGCGCGGGCCATGCGTCGCGTATGTGTGACTGGGCCATAATATATAAAAGACATTATAAAAGCCATTATAAGCCATTAAAAGCCATTATAAAAGGCAACAATTTCTTCATGCTACACATTTGTGGATTTTATGGCTTCCTGACGAACAGTCATCAGTAATACAAACAGCAACAATCATGTGAGCTAAAAATTAAAACAACAGTTGGGGAAATCGGTGTAATACTCACATTTCACATAAAAATCGACATACATGCTTATCACAAGCCGCATGAGTGACAAACAAGACAAGATCTTGCATGAGACACAAATGGAGGCTACGGAAAATTAAGTAAAAGTAACAGGGGCAACAACGATTACGACTGAAGGTTGCTTGGTGCAAAATGCTGAGATAACACGTACTAACAGTCTAGCAAGTACTCTAATTTCACAGTTCTAGAACTATCGTCTGCGTACCTAGGGTAGCATACCCTATTATGAAACATGATGATATGCATAAACAAAAGAACAGTGCGTCTTCTAGACATAAGACATGAACATAATTCACTGATAATTACAGACATGGACTAACGTACAGAGAATCATATTATTACGATATATAGCTATATATATTAAGCATATCGCTAACACGTTATTTTTAGTGGTTGTGACAGCTGCTTTACGATAGTACGGTGTTATCTATACCTGATCTAGGCTTCCTTCCCTTGGCAGCCGTCAGGACAAAGGTGAATTGTAGGAGACTCCACGACCACATGGAGAGAATGATGATAATCAGCATCTCGTTCGTCTGCACCGTTTTCTCCTTTTAGGGTAAATAGTTGTGTCAAATATCGACCTCTTCTCTCTCGCTTTCTCTCTCCCCACCCTTTCTCTTTCTCTCTCCTTCGCTCTATCTCACGATTTTTCTCTCTCTTTCTCTCTCCCCACCCTTTCTCTTTCTCTCTCCTTCGCTCTATCTCACGATTTTTCTCTCTCTTTCTCTCTCCCCACCCTTTCCTTTCTCTTTTCTTCGCTCTATCTCACGCTTTCTCTCTCTCTGTCTGTCTCTCTCTCTCTCTCTCTCTCTCTCTCTCTC